TTTTTTTTTGGTATTTTTCAGTATTCTCCTCAAGTTTGGCTCAATTTCAAACGCAAGTCCACAGAAGGATTTCATATTGGTGGTGTGTTGCTTGATTTTGGAGGTGGCGTTCTTAGCTTGTTGCAGATGGACCTCTACTGCTTCATTGAACACAGTAACAAGCAACTCACTGGAAACATTCCCAAGATGGCCTTAGCTGTGGTCACACTCCTGTTCAACATCATACTGGTCTGGCAGCATTATGTTTTCTATTTTGGAAATGAATATGATCCTAGTGAACAAGAACCCCTGTTGAGAGATGCCAAGAAGACAAAGTTTTATGCTGTAGATGTCAATGCTGAAGATGGAGAATTTCTGGTGAGAAGTTTGTCTGTTTCTGATGAACAGAATGCTGGAGAGACAAAGAGAAATTCACAGGAGTCGCTTGTGTAAGAACATAATGTCAAATTGGTTAGTGGAGTATATTATGGCTATAAATGCACAACATATACATTGTATAAGTATAAGTAACTAATTTAACTAGGCTGAAGGAAAGATGGTTTGCGATTTAGATAATACTGTTAAAGTGATATTAATATATATTTTTCGACCAATAAGGATTTACATGAAATTGTTGTCAGTCAATTTGGTAACAAATTTATGGATATATGTACATGACTTTTATAATAGTTTTAAACACTGCGAGAGACCATACCGTAAAAATGTTCTGGGAGACTATTGCAGATGTACAATGGAATGTTTATTACAGATGCAAAACAAAATTAAAAAAAAAAACAAAAGAAAACAAACAACAAACACACACACAAAAAATAAAAAACAAAAGAGAAAAGTTTTAAAAATCAGGCTATTAGTACTTGCAGTGCACTCGCGAGAAACAAGAAAAGATGCGAATGAAACAAGACGTGACTCGAGAGAAGCAAGACTCGTCTCAAGAGTTCTAAGTGAGATGCGTCTTGCGAGATGGTGGTAACTTAAATTTGAGTGCAGTGGAGTGGTTTTCAATTGAGTGTCAAAGCCAAAACTAAACCAATTACTTGCCAATTAGACTACTCAGCCAAACTCAAACCATGGTAAAACCAAAACCAAAGTAATTGAATGATTGCTTTTGACAATCAATTGAAAACCGCTCTATATCAATATCAAACAAATTATTATTCAAGCTAAGCTTGTACTAGGTAGGTAAAGTTTGCATATGAGCCAAGTGGCCCATCAGGCCAGTGCTTATCTCTGGTTTTAGTAGCATGAAGCGACTAGGAGTCTTTCTACTCCCCTTGGATGGAATGCTAGTCCACTGCAGGGTTACCCCCCATCATTAAATTCGCTGGTACCCATTTATACACCTGGGTGGAGAGTGACAGTTTTTACCTTAAAGCTAGTTTTGTACCTGTCAGAAAGTTTTACTGTGTAATATTGAGACTCATATTTTAAGCTTGCACAAGGGTTTTCTCCATTGTGATATATCTTCACCCAGTTTTGTAGATGAAAAGCAAGAAAAGGTCTTTGCCTAAGTAAAGCCTATCCTGCTGCTCTGCAATGTGTGTAGTTAGTTTGGTGTTTGTCTTTGAGAGCAGTTTGTGTTCACCATCTGCCAGGTAAATACAATCCAAGCCACTGACCATTAAGATTTCAAGACAATTTTTGAAGGATAAGCCAAATGTCAAAGTGTGATATACCACATAACCAAGAGTATACAATACACCAAGTAAAACATACCATTTAACGTTGCTAAGTAAAACATACCACTTACCATTGCTAAGTAAAACATACCACTTACC